AAACAGAGTGACGCACATGTTCAAGACATCTTTTCAGGTTCCGTGATGTCTGGGAAATTTTGTGGCCATCTGTGATTATGCCAAGCATCAAATTCTACCAAGCACACGTGTTTGGGCCTCGATTGAGGTAGCTTGAAGTAGTATGATCTGGAAATTCCGAGTAGCTCCTAGATGTATCGAGTTATTTGACCGAGCGGCGATGAGTCTTTCTTAGGGGCGGCCGACGGTGGTATGTTTTGCATTCCCTTTCTTATGTGTACGCCTGATTAACTGGTTTTGTGTCGTTTGTATCTCTTCCGGCGCATTGTAGAGGGGCATTTTACAATCTGCTACCCTCGGTGGAATGAAAATCGTACATGATGAAGATGGCGATCCCTCACAAATATTTTCAGTTGTAGAAATTTAGTCGCGTGAAGGACATCACCAAGCTGTTCGGGTGAATTTGTTTGTTCGTGGAAGGACATTTTTTATTCGCAAATCTCCTTACGACCATTATGCATGTAAACGTTGCCGCGTTATTGTAGTGATAAAATCGTTGTGTATCGTTGGATTGTTCTGAAATTAGCAAGATATAAGTGTTAACAAGGTGCAAATAACAAATATTGTGTGAACATTAAACATTTTAAAATCCTAGACAATGTACAATGTGGGCAATGTACAAACTGTAGAAAATACCCACACGTGAATCATAAGCGTTGAATTAGCAGTTATTGTAGTTATTGCAGAAATACAAGTTCTGTGTATCGTTGGATTGTCCTGAAATTAGCACGATATAAGTGTTGGCAAGGTAACGCAAATAAAAAATATTGTGTGAACATTGAACATTTTTAAATTGTATACTATGCGTGGGCAATGTACAAACTGTCGAAAATACCCACACGTGAATCATAAGCGTTGAATTAGCAGTGACAAACCAAAGTGAATATTAAGTCTAATTTTTATTAAGGAATCTTTAAGAAAGTTCGATTCAAATGAGTAGATCTGTGCTTAAATCGTGGGAGTATTTTTGATTTAACATTTCATGGTAGAGATGTTCAGCTAAAAGTTTTCCGCGAATAATCGTAGAGATTTAAGTAGTGTGCAACGATCATATAATTCATTGTAACTTCTATGGTAATTCATGACGGGTTGGAGTACATACGAATTTTGTCTGAGTTGTATCTAAATTGTTAAAGAAAAATCATATTTTCGCTAATTATATGTATTATTAGTCTAAGTAAACAAAAAATGTTCAGCGGAATTTGTTTGAAGTGTTACAAAGCTAAATTCAGCAACGTTTACAGCTTCTTCACATTTCAAGCTTCTTGCTTATCGCATATTAGCTTTTTGTGTGCTCTAAACTTAGTGTTCTAAGTGCACTTCCACAGTCATTAATTAAGAGCTTTCGATGCCTGTGTACCATTTCTGCGTTAGTATAATTGTGTCTGGAATATGCCCCGGGGAAGTCGAGAAATTTTCCAACCCGAAAAATTCCTAGATAGGACTGGGAATCGAACCCAGCCACCTCCAGCATGGTCTTGATTTGTAGCTGCGGTTTTACGGACTGAGCTAAGGGAGGCTCCTTCAACGAATACATCCCCCCCCCCAATTGTGGGACACCTTGTTTAATTTTAAAATTTGCACCGGATATGGATGTTGAGATTAATGTCCCTGAAAACGCGAAGAGGATGGAAACCGTCAATCTTGTCCTTAAGTATTTGCTCGCACTGCAACAGTATTGCATATTTTACATTTAATTAGACAAATAAGTACGTTTGCACTAACTAAAAAAAAGGTGATAACTGGGCGTGTTTTTGTATAATCGTTCTAATGAAGCACGAAATAAGTGCTCCGATGAGCATGATAATGATAATTGTCTACCACTCATTGTAGCACGGACACTAAGTCCGATAGCAGTGGGCTCTCCTCACTATTTGGCTATTTGGCTTAATAACCTCTGATTGTCCACTGGGCCAAAAACAGGTTGGGTGGATCTATAAGTAAATTTACGGGACCATAGAGACTGTCCTTCCAGGAACATTGTCAAAAATTTGGTAAAAAAATAGTCGTCAAACAGAAGGATGCCCTAAGGAGTGTGGAGAAGTCCGCCCTTTATCCACAGGGAGTTGAAAATTTCACTCTCCCCATCCAAATGGCTTCAATTGGTCCCTCACAATCCTTAACATTTTTGATATACAATGAATGATGAAATATGATAATTAAAGCAAAACGTTACCAATCGAATATTTAACGTTATCAAATCGCCCAGCATACACGGTAAGAAAAAAAAAACTTTTATCTACTTTTGACTAGTTTGTCTCCTTTTTTCCTTCTAAAGGCCTGTATAGAGATCGAAGCGAAGCGAAAAATTCATACAAAATACTAAACGCAATTGGCAAATATTTCGCTTCGCTTTGAACTGTAAACAGATGCGATCCAGCGAAATCTTATTTTGTGGATCGTATCTTTTTCGCTTACGTTCATTTTTTTTTTCGCGCATGCAGCGCTAGCGAAAAGAGCAGCAGGTAAGCGAAAAGTTGACGTTTCGAGAAAGAGCGTATCTGTCATATTTTCACTTCACTGGAGGTGTAAACTGACCGATTTCGTTTCACGTGAGCTGTAAACTGCGAAAAAAGGAAACTGGAAAATGTTCCACAAACATTTTTTCACAACCTTTTTCGCTAGCGAAATTTCATGATTTTTCGCGTGCTTCAATTTTTGTTTCGCTTCGATCTGTATACTAGGCTTAATGTTGTCAAAAACGGAGGAGTAAACCACCCAACATTACTGCCTTTGTGAGTGTGGGAACCCAACGTTGAGTAAAATCATATTTACCTACTCTTGTGTACAACTAACTTATTTTTGGGTAGAAACCGAGTGGAAAATTCCATACGAATTGCACACAAGTAAATGAAAACTACGTTTACCCGCTTTATCTACTCTTGGGTTCCTGCATTATAGTGCCGGGATGAGTTAAAAAACTTACTTTTGGGTACTTTTTCTTACCGTGTAAATAGAAATGAGTTGTTTTACACTGAGGCAAAAGAACCACATTATGAATTTTAGTCACAAGAAATCGGTGTGAATTTCAAAGATTTGCCTTATGAAAAATTATGTCAACAAAAAAATAATAAAATTGAGCAGACTGGAACCGAACCATGGACGTTGAGATTACTGGTCCTGTTACTGGAGCACTCGTCTGTCAACGCTTGGGAAAATTGTATGGCTAATGGCGTAGAAGGGCAACCTCATGTTAGACTATGCTATGTTTGCAGGAAATTTTCCCAGCTACTACTTTGTTAAATACCACTTTTCGATCAAATGTAAGGAACAACAGATATTCATGATTCAAGTCACTGATGTCTTATGATTATGCTCAATGGCGCGTAGCATAAAGCACAAAAATCATGGCTACTATGTCACACTGCACAATACAGTGTGGCCTATAAAACAGCTGCTTGATCATGCCAGAAGATTATCAATCTCTTAAACAATTAATAACTATTTAATTTGACGCTTGCGGAAAAACGATATTTTGCAAAGTGGTAGCCCATAAGAATAGTTATAGAACTTTTCAACAGTGCAATATGGAAAAAGGCTAGATAACAATGAACAAAAAGTTTGGTTTTCCCATAGTAAGTTCCATATAAACTTCAAATGGTTTGTGCCAAGTCAGTTTCTACCAAATGAGTTTAAATTTTGGGAAGTAAATCATGATCCAATTTATAAATGTGGAGTAGGGTGCTTCATTCTGAAAAAAGTGATGAATTTCTGATGGGCCACCCTCCAGTTCGATTCATAGCCCCAAAATATGAACCTGTGCAAAAATTGGTAAAGATTGATGAAGGTTTAGAGGTCGCGCCAATGATTTGAAATTTGTATGGGAATTACTATGGAAGAATTTAAAAAATCGCTTATATCGCTATAACTTTGCTTCTACTTGTCCAAATGTCGAAAAAATTTAGTATGTTATTGCTATGGCAATAAACAAAAAGCCTACAGTTGCTACGCTCAGTTTTGCAGCGTACCAAGAATTATAAAAATGTGAAAAAATGGCAAAATAGGGTAAATTGACAGATGAATATGTACAAGGCAACAACGCCAATTTCATCGCAACAACAACAGGCTTGTTGATCATTGTCATGACAACCACATATTTTTTTTTTTCAACGTTTGGACAACTACAACCAAAGTTAGAGCAATGTAAACGAAAATCAATAATTTCCCATACTAATTCACCAAAATCTCCATACAAAATCCAAATCATTGGCGCGACCTCTAAACCTTCATCAATCTTTACCATTTTTTGCACAGGTTCATATTTTGGGGCTATGAATCGAACTGGAGGGTGGCCTATCAAAAATTCATCACTTTTTTCAAAATGAAACACCCTAATGTGGAGCGAACATTTCAAATTTTGCGTTAGTCTATTGGGCATGGAGTATGATCGTACTTGCCACACAATTATACTGATTCAAAAATGGTAAAGTCATCGAAAGCTCTCAATTAATAACTGTGGAAGTGCATCTGTAGAACACAAAGAGCACGCAATAAGCTAATATGCGATAAGCAATAATCTTGAAATGCGTGGAAGGAGGAGGAGCTTAGCGTTCTTTGAAACATTTCCACAGTTAAGAGCCTTCTATGCTAACCAATACATGTATTTGCATATTGTATAGATACAAGGAAATTTCCAGCATGAAATATTGTCAAGGCCTTAACGACAATCTATCGTCCCAGTTATAGATTAGTAATACCGTGCTTACTGCGTTATCTAAGGCCCACAAGCACTTAGTTACTTCTAAAGCACTAGAAACACGTGTTTTTTTCGGATTTTAATTTCATCTATAAATGATTATGTTATAAGTGTTAAAACCCTAACACCTTTTCGTGACGGTCGCAATTTAGATTTAGAATTAATGTAGGGTCACTGTATCTGGAGGTTTAAATTATAAAATACATAACGATAGTAAGAGAAGCACTCATTTAGTAATTAAATCTTATCTCTGTCCTTATTTCAGACATTCACACTGTTTACGGAGCTACGATAATCACAACAAAATGAGAACACACGTCAGCCCAGATGGATCTTACGTTAACGATGGGATGAACTGTTCGTCTTTAGACATAACAATACCAAATGGAGAGCCCCATGGTGGTCTGACCGGATCCAATGAATTCATATGTAAGTTATTCCTTAGATCGACTTAAAAAATCTTAATTAAGCTTGATATTTATTAATATACATTGGAACAGTGTTGGAAACGTTAACCAAAACTCACTATGACTCGCGATTTTTTCCAACACTGTGTTGCATTATGGAAAATTTCCATCATACAATAGAAACGGCGGACTCTATTCTTTCTTCGTGTGTGATTGAAAAAGGAGACCAAACTATGCTGCAATATTCTAATATCGACCTTACATAAGCAATGTACAGGGTTTCTGTCGTATACGTATCGTGAAAATTATAGCAGAAACGTTTTATGAAACCACGCATGTTGTTAGCACTGTTAATAATTGTGTTATAATGATCGGTGAGAGTAAGCTTTGAGTCTAAGATAACATCCCAGATCCCAGACTCTATCACACTTTTCTACGTTTTGGTTCCCTTTAGTAATTTTTATACCGGGTATGTGTCGTTTTCTACTGAAGGTTATTGAGTTACATTTTTTACATTTAATTGATTTAATTTAGTTAAATTTAATTTTGTTGAATGTGTTAATGTCTTTAAGACACTTTTTATTTCCAACAAAAATTTGATTAAATTTTTCATTTTCTTAATAATGAAAAAGATGTCATTGACGAATAGAATAATTAAAAGGGGAGCGTAGTTTCGTAGTTCGTAAACGGCTTTTAAAGAAGCCGTGTTGCATAGTAGTTATTTTGTTTTCAGTTTGAAGAAACAATTTTTCATTTACAATCGCCTCGAAAAGTTTCGGGATGCAAGAAATAATGGCTATGCCACGATAATTAAGTATGTCAGATTTTTGCCCGTGCCTATATTTAGCACTTAAAATGAGTTTTTCCATATTTTAGGGAAGTAGTTCCTACGTTTATTAACAGCGAAATTTGAAGTTAAGGTTCTAGCTGTAACTTTTTTAAAGATATTATGATTTCTTTCATGAAAAAGTTAGGCCTTTTTCAAAAGCTGGTCATGAAATATTGAAAAATGTTATTAATTAACAACATATTTTGATTCACATCAACACATTGAGATTAAATAAAACTACAAAAGTATCAAAACAATCCTGGCAAATGTTTGTCCTCCTGCACCTGCTTGAATTTCTTGAAACCTCCCATAGTGACCGAAATTTTTCAAATTGCTTTATTTTCAAATAGTTGGGGCAGGATTTTCCTCCAGTACTTGTTAGGATATACTAAAAAAATGACCCTGAGCTACGAATTAGCCTTGAAATCAAAAGTTTGTGATCAACAGATACCCTGGGAACCAAAAAAAAAAAAAAATCAAAAAAATTGTGGGGTAATTTTCCTTAAAAATTTTAGTTGATATTTTCGTACTTTCCCCGACATAACGTACTTTTGAAATTCATAATTCATGAACGTATTGTCGAAAGAACGTTGTATAGGTAAATGACAAAGAAATTATCTCAGCAATACTTTAAAAATCTAATCTGAAAATTGTATTCCACCGACATGTTTATGGTGAAAAAAAAAATCCACCAGCGTGAAAATTTTCGTGGAAAATATTTTTCAAATTATCCTTGGACTGCTGTGATAATTTTCTTATCGTTTCACATAATTGAATTTTTGGAAAAAGAAATTCTTTCATATAACCATAAACCCTACCTGTGGGCAAAATTTCATAGAACTCTGAAACACTTCGGTTCATTTTGATAATAAAAATATCCGGTGTAGTCAACACTCAAAAAAACATAATTTTAATTTTTGAGCATGTTTTGGAATGAAAATTTAAATTCATCAAAATTAATAATCCTGTATCTAGCGTCTACCAGTGCCTATAGCTACGCTAAAGGAAAGGGTTCTAATCTCACGCTTGATGCATTAGTCTCGACAAATTAGTGTACTCTTATATTACGAAATCGTTTAAATGTTATTAAATTAAAAAAAAATATTTATACATACACATTACTTACCTTTTGGTTTGGTTTCAGTGTCACCAAGCGGTCAGAAAATTTCCTCGGATAGCCGCCTCGAAGGTGTTAATCAATGGTGCCAACGCAAAGCTAGAAGTGCCTGTTCTAGAAAGATGTTGTTGAAACGGCTACCCATTTTACGGTGGTTACCAAAGTGAGTAACGCCTGCCTTTATTGCGTTCGACGAATTAATTAAGCCAATTCCAATGCAATTGCGGTTCAATTAATCTGTGGTCACTCATCGTTTGATTTGTTTTCATTCTTTTTAATCAGGTACAATGGATCGGATGCTGTGGGTGATCTAGTAGCGGGAATAACCGTTGGTCTAACTGTGATTCCTCAAGCACTTGCCTATTCTGGTATTGCTGGGCTTCCCGCTGCGGTAAGTTCCTACACAATCTTGGTAGTTTTAGTCAGCTATATTTGTGTATGTTGTTTTTTTTTTTCTCTTTACAGTATGGTCTTTATGGTTCCTTTCTTGGCTGCATCGTGTACATATTCCTCGGTAGTTGTAAAGATGTACCTATGGGTCCAACAGCCATTTCTGCGCTTCTTACTTATCAAACTGCGCGCGGAAATGTATCTAAAGCTATCATTTTATGCTTCCTTTCGGGAATAATTGAACTAGTGATGGGTGTCTTTGGATTGGGATTTCTAGTGGATTTTGTATCCGGACCTGTGTCGTCGGGATTCACGTCTGCGGTATCGCTGATCATCGTAACATCCCAAATTAAAGATGTATTGGGAATTTCGGCAAAAGGAACTACGTTCCTAGAGATCTGGCAATCAATCTTTAAGGATATTCACAATATCCGTGCTTGGGACACGGTCCTTGGTATCACCTGCATTGCTGTACTGCTAATTATGAGAGTAAGCTACTAAATACAGTCACTAAGAAAGACAATAAGTAACGAATCGTGTATTTCAGATTGTAGCAGGACTGAAAGTAGGGCCTCACGAAGATGACCTCAAATCGAAGAAGCATCGAATTATCAATAAGTTTATGTGGTTAATCGGAACATCACGCAATGCCATTCTAGTCGTAGTGTGTGGTGCCATTGGATACGTGTTCCAGTCATCGGCTTCAGCGCCATTCAAGCTAATTGGAGATATTCCACCAGGTCTGCCATCATTTGAAGTTCCTCCGTTTTCACTCAATGCCAATCAAACTGCTAGTGGTAGAGAAGAAAGCTTCGCCGAAGTCGTTTCCAGTTTGGGGTCGGGGCTAATTGTGGTGCCTTTGATCTCTTTGATGGAAAACATTGCTATTTGCAAAGCATTCTGTAAGTAACGTGCTAGATTTCTACCCATATGCTGCCCAGATTTCATTATTTACTCTTTTACATGCAGCTAACGGCAAACCAGTTGACGCTACCCAGGAATTGATTGCCATTGGAGTTGCCAATATTGCAAATTCTTTTGCACATGGTTTCCCAGGAACTGGAGCTCTTAGCCGTAGTGCCGTATTCAACGCTTCTGGTGTTCGAACACCTTTAGCAAACATCTACACCGGAGCCTTGGTGGTGCTTTCGCTTTTATTCTTCACTCCATACTTTTCATACATTCCAAAAGCATCACTCGCTGCGATTATCATAGCAGCAGTCGTCTTCATGGTAGAGGTCAAAGTTGTCAAACCCATGTGGCGAACAAAAAGTGAGTCTCGTGCATTGAAATCAATGACGTATAAACATTACTATTTATTTCTTTTTTAATTCCAGAGAGTGACTTGATTCCTGGATTAGGAACATTTATCGCCTGCCTAGCTCTACCACTAGAAATTGGAATTCTTCTAGGAGTTGGTCTTAATGTGATATTCATTCTGTACCATGCAGCCAGGCCCAAGATAAACGTTGAGCGATTAACTGTAAGTAAACATTTGTCCTTCAAGTTGACACAACCTTTACAAGAAATATTATTTAACAGAGTCCTGCTGGTACCGAGTATCTGATCATCACTCCAGATCGATGCTTAATTTTTCCATCGGTGGACTACGTGCGGAATTTAGTGACAAAGCATTCCATCCGCCAATCACTTCCAGTTGTGATAGATTGCTCGCACGTCTATGGAGCCGACTATACCGCTGCAATGGTTATCGGAAGCATTACCCAGGACTTTGCCAAACGTGATCAGCCACTATTCTTCTATAACTTGAAACCAAGTGTGTGTGCAGTGTTTGAAGGACTATCACCTGTCGACTTTGTGGTTTACTACCGAGAAGAAGATCTAGATGAGTTGATGATAGAAAAAGCATACAAACCGAAACAGGTACTCAGTGCTTAGAAGTTGTACTAAATTTTCAATGGCGTACCAATTCAGGAATAATCATCAGTATTACTGAAGGGGTTTCCATCAAAGCATAAAAGCATGTCTTTACACATGCCAAGAACACCCCTTTAACGATGCATGAATAATTACATAACAATCAAATCAGCTCTATGGCGTGGCATTCAACTGCCATCTTTCATAATTTAAAAAAGCTGTAAGAACTATTTTCTGTTACAGGTAAATTAAAACTATATTAGATGCATATGTATTTATTACGTGCCTTTGGTACCATAACAACAAATATAAGCTTTTTATCTGACTAAGCACTTTGTTCTCGACGGTTGGATATCAAGTGAAGCGTGCCTTCTCTGAACCAACACCCCATCACTTACCGCATGGATAAATAGACGAGTGCACCTGCTAGTAGATAGGAACATGAGTTAAATTTTATTCACGAATATGACCAAATTGCTATGCGCCTTTTAAGAACCACTGCTTGTTTTCAGAATCCTCAAAATTATTGAACTGCAATTGTCAAGCCATAAAAGAATGTGAAGTATTGTTTTTAATATTTTAAGTTTTTGTTAGTAAAATTTTAGCCAACTAACTAGATGAATGAAAGTTAAATTCTTCATTCGGATGCCACTTCTCGTTTAGGATGATATTGTACTATGATACTTTAAAATATTCTATAAATAAAACTGTGATAAGGCTATAATTTATTCAAATAAATGCAAAAATTAACCATGAAAAATGAATAGCAATATCACAAACCATATATACACATTTCTACCCTTCGTAGTTCTTACCCTCATGCTAAGAGGAAGAGCTGGTTCCCGTTTGACAGAAAAATGGTTCATTTTCGCCCCCGTATTGTCACCTCTTCTCTTAGCCCTTATACACCTCTATTTTGTTCTGTTAGCATACGTTGCTAGTTCGTTGATCGTCTCTCCACTTTCGCTGCAGTTTTCAAAAATAGTGGGACATGACTATTTGCGACGAACCTATTGAGAAATCCAACTTAAACTCCTGCGCGTCTGGTGGCAGGAATAAGCACTAACCGACGGTGATAAGTCTGTGGCAGCCCTTGACAATTTCATTTATTGTTTGCAAAATTGTTTAATTTCAATGTAATTTCATGAAAATTTCTTGTCAGCATGAATGAATCTTGTACAAAATCCATAAAACTATTTTATAATGCATTGTTCTTAAATAAAAAGCTACTTCAAGACTTATAAATTACTGAAAACATGTTAAGGTTTGAAATCATCTGCCGATTAAACAACAGACAAAGTTGGCCGACTAAATCAATCGACGAAAAACTATTAAATAGGCCGATTGCTCGGTGTAGCACCAGACGAAAAACGATTTAATCTGCTGATTAATACACCGACTGAAATTAATTTTTAAGTGACAATAGATTTAGTCGGTGGACGATTCGGGTGATTTGGATGATGTTTGTTTATTTGGAAGATATTTTCGAAACAAAGCACGATAAAATTCAGCATTATATACCATTATTACGAGTACTACTTTTTTGCTCGGATCATGTTTTGACTTCCACAGAAACTCGCTAGAATAAATAGAAAATAATAGTTTTTTGGTTTAAATTTCAAAAATGTATTCAGTTTGACACATTATTTCGGACTTATCACGGTCGATTGAAACATGGATTTGTCAATTGAGTGTAGCATTTTGATGTCTTGAGGAATGTTTCTTCATTTTGTGTTCACTTTAATTGGAAGATTGCCGTAAAATCTCAACGCAGATGTCGCCACTGCATGATGATGATAATGTTGACAGACTGCATATAAAATTCGTGAAAATTAGCGTTAAATCATAATTTTCATCAAGCCTGTGTAAAATCCTTCCAATATAACATTCGAATTGAAGAAGAAAACGTTTTCACGATCAGACTGATATGCATCTTTGACTTTTCCAGTTGAACTTTCATTAGATATATTCATTTCATTTCGCGGCTCCATCAATGCTGCATTGTAAATATGATGTAAACAGAAGTAAATTGCTCAATTACTCAAAATAAAGATGATTTGTATTCTTGTTATCACTTTGAAGACCATCTAGCACCATTTTATAGTATGGTGCGTGTTGAGTAAAGCAAGTTCCGTTGCGTTTTCCGTCGAAAATTGTGAGTATCAATTAATTAATTTAGCTTTATTTAGGAGGCTTTCAGCCTTAGGCTGGTTCGCCTCCGAAGCTGTGAGTATCAATATGTTTTCTTAGAAAAGGCCAAAATGAACATTTATTTAATATTGGCGTCCTATACAACCAATTCTCCATTACCACCAGCATGATACAACCTTTCATAAGTAAATGAACTTAATTTCCACTTTCATCTTAGTGTAAATCTCACATATTTACCATTTTCTGAAAAATGCAGCTGCGCAGGAGGTAACCTCTCCCTGTGGGTGCAAACTTGTTATGCATAATTTGCCATGAAAACATCTCCGATCCATACCGAAATAATAACAAATAGTTTTCAAACACGTTTTCTTACACGATTCAAGCAAAAGTTTCCACGGGAAATTATTAGTTTTTCTTAATGGACCGATTTGCCCCAAAAAGCGTCTGTTTTACTTGGAAAATTTGGAAACTATCCTCCTTCTAGTAGTTCTCACTTCGAAATGTAGGTGGCGAAAGCTTGGAAAAGTTTCACTGCAAGACGCCAATTGAGTAGTGAAAATGTTCGCTTAAGGGGCGTATACACTCAGATAAAAAAAAAAAACTTTTTTATGTTTTGTTAAAATTGATTGACGTGCTGTCAAATCAGACTACTGATCATTCTTGTATGAAACTGGTTCCAAACGTAAAAAAACGCTGTACACACTTAATCTAGCTCGGTAAAATCTCCAACCTCGGCATTTACTTTTCCTGATATCTCTGCAAAATATCTGTTTGTTAGCTGATATCTTTGCAAAATGTTATTTGTTAGCTGAGGCTCGGCAATTGTTTTACTGAATCTTAGCAAATTAAATTGCAGAATCGCTCGGCTGTTGGAATCTCGGCGAAAAAAATTAAGTGTGTAGGTTTCTTATGGCTTGTTTACGTTTGGAACCAGTAACTGTTATGCGAGGTAGGCGACGATTGTTCGTATTTGACAGCCACCTCCCCCCCTTGATAGGACCCAAGCTAAGTGAACACGCTAAGATGCACATACCTTAAAGTCGGTAAAGAATACCTAAATATCGGTAGAAATTACCGATAATCGAAGAAAGTGCACATACCTAAATTATCCGTAATCATGGGAAGGTCGAGTTTCGAACGCCTTTGGATACGGTTGTGTCTTAAGTTTCTCCTCTGTTTTGTGCATGCATTAGCTTCCATAGTCTTCGGCTGCATTTGCTGGATTAGCGCTGGCACTCTGCCTCCCGGACGGTTATACGTGTGTGAGTGGTGGTTTTCTCGCTTTCCGAGAAGTTTTAGAATCGAGAAAGAAAACATGATTCATCATGTTTGCAAGCAACAGAAGATTTGACGCTATCTGCACAGGAGTGGAACTTTGGATCAGAAAGTGGCTCCACTTGTCATTTGCGAACACTAGCGCACCTAGCGGTAGAAGGCATCTTCTGCCTGCAGTTAAGATAGGCAGCATGCTATGATAGTGTGAGTGCAAGTCCGTGTGGAACGCTACCACAATACATCGCTTGTTAAGCAGAAAAACGAGCACTTTTTGATTCACCGATTTGTTTGCACTTCTCCTTCTGTTCTGTGCTATCTGCGTTGTTTGATTTTTTCTCCCGTTCCAGAAATTTGTGGCATCGCAAGCGATAATTTTAATTTTAGTTTATTTACGCGGTAATGATGTTGGTTCGCAACTATTTTTGAAAAAAATAAGTGTTTTCGAACGAAAGTGTACCAAAAGTGCTTCTGAACGTGTTTCGTAGTTGGGTGTGGTGAAATTCGTGCATTCCCGGTTGATTTTGGAAATCCGTATCACAAAATTACCCACCGATTCCTTTTTTTGCCGTTCGACGACGACGGGTGTGCTTTCGCGAGAGTGACGTTTATTTGATCCGTTTCTTTGTACGGGCACAGACAAACAGACGTAACTCTTTGAAAAACTTGTTCTTGAAAACATAGTATCTCAAAACATATAACCTCAGTAACGACATCTCTCTGGCTTCTCGCGGAAAACAAGATTGCTCACTAACTCGTAAACAATATTGCATAAAAGTTCTATAGAATATATAGAAACGTCAAAGTGATCCGATGCCAGCGCTGCGGCGAGTAGTTCGCGGAACTGATAATATTCAAATCAACCGTTAAATGCATGAACGAAGATACACAATGAAGAGTTACGTCTGTTTGTCTGTGGTACGGGTGTGTGTTTTTTTTGTAACTAGCGTAAGTGTGCCTGCGATTTGCATTGAGTGTCGGAGATTGTAAGTAATCTGAAGGATGCCTCGCTGGATACGCCCAAGACTGGACGGGCAGTAGCTGGTGGCCGTGAACGGTTCCTGGGGAAAGCACTAGATGCGACCCTCCTCCCAGATGAACATGGCAATACACGAAGTATTGGTATTGGAAGGTAATTGCTATTAGATATTTTGCAAACAGTGACAGATAGCGGACATGAAGAACCAGTGGAGGTGCCGGGTAAAGATGTTTATACTAGACAAATGGTAAGTTACAAATTCGCTGTTGTCGTTGTCGTAGGCGCCGTCGTAGTCGCTGTCGTAATCGCCGTCGTAGTCGTAGGCAGTACCGTTAGTATATTTAAAATTAACCACCAACCGCTGAAAATATGAATTATCACGTATTTCTGTTGTTCATTACATGCCAAGTAAAATTCGAGAACGTAATTTCATTTGAATAGCTTGTTCAACCAGGTCTTAAACAATCGTAACGTCGGTCATAGTTTGTTATGATTACCTGAACCATGCGTAAAGAGAAAATCGAAACATTTAACGTCACGTGAAAATGGATCTTAATGAAGGCCTCTTTCATAGCTTTTAGTTTAAGGATTTCAAAGATCGTCGGTTGCAGTGGCTTGCTTACTGAGCAGTAAAACGCGGTCCCAGATCATTTCATATTACAAATGTATGGTTAGATCGCTTGTTTATCGTGTATTTCGTAAAACTTTTCGTTGTCGTCGGTGCCGGGTCTGAATAGTCATAAAAACTTGAGTAACGCTATAATGTGATATGAGGGGCTCGGTGGCCTTAGAGCAACCGGTTTTGCTTACTGAGCAGAACATCATGAGTCTAATCTCAAGCCCATCCATATTCTAGATTCGTCAATCGTTGTATTTGTTAACATGACTACATGGTAATAACAGCAACTCGATGATTAAAAAGGAGCTCGTTTGCCTAGTGGCAAACGTTTTTGCTTACTGAGCAGAAGACCATGGGTTCAATCCCAAGCTCCTTCGCGTTATATGATTGTTAGGACATCAATTCAGCTTATCGTTTACCAAAACGAACCCTGCTGCAAACCCAACCCTATTACCCAATATTCCAGTGCTTCCTCGTGGAAGTGCAGAGGTGTTCTCGGCTTCCATCAAAGCGAGTGTCACGTCAACACATTCCTACCCCTTCCTTTCTTGACCTGTGTTCGGGCGCGGCCGGCGCTGGTATTGCCTAGTTTGAGATCACCAGTTTTTACACATTGAGGATGATTGCTAGTCCCAAGCATCGTCTAATGGTTCTCTGTGTAATCACAGCTGGTCTGGCAATAACTGAGTAGCAACCGTAGGCGGTCAATCATGCTCATGCTCATGCTCATACCTAAATTATCCGTAATCATGGATTACCAATAATCAACTTTAAAAATTACATTAATTTATAGAAAAAAAAACCTATTTAAAGTAAAGAGTAACGATTTTTTTCGGTAAAAATACCGATAACTTTTTACCGATAATTTTAAGTAATCGTAGCTAAGAGTGAAGACAACTGGCTTCTTACTCTTGAATCTATATCTATATCTGTCTCTATCTTACGCACTTTTTTCCTTGATTTTGTTTTCCATCGATCTTGTTTTCCGTTCTGAGCACCAATGCTACGTCATGTTACGCCCTCGGTTACGCCATAATTCCAGCTCTATTTAGAAATATTATTTTTTTTATAGCAAGCATTTACAGCAGCAATATGTTTATTTACTTTACTCGATAGGTAGGTGGTTTGACAGTTCGATAAATAGATTTCGCATCATTCTTTGTTGGCTTTACACTGATCATTTTGCTTAAAATTGAATCAATTTTACATTAAACTAAGTTTAGTTATATCGAATGATTAAAAATTAATTATCTCTTGCTAAAAAGTAATCATCTGATATTTAACCCAGTTTAATCATGTTTGATTAAATTGAACATTATCTTGTTTGAATTAATTTTAATCATTTTTGATTTCATTTTAAACATTTTTTATTGAATTTTAATCATTTTTGATTGAATTTTCATCATTATTGATTATGTAATAATATTCTAATTTTTTATCAAAAATGTTTATTTCGAATTTAATCATACATGACTACTGCCGAAGTAGTCATGGCTCGGACTCAATAAGGTGTAGCGGGAATTTGCATTCTTTCTAGCTTTTTTGATTTAATTTATTATTGAATGTAGCGAGTACGATTTTGCAAATTTGAGTAAATGGAATATAAATATGAGTTATATTCATCGGCCGTGTCATATCAGTTTTGACCGAACTGTGTGGATTCTACCTAAATTTGGGTGTTTTGAAATAGCGTGAGTATAGGAATGCAGTGACCCTGCGCATTTTGGACGCACATGTTTATTTTTGCATGTAGTAGTGTGGTCGGCTGTCAACTATAAAGAGTTAAACAACAAAACAACGTGTAGTCGCTTCGCGTTAAAAGTTACAATAAAATTTGAGTTAGTTTATCTATACATACAATTTTACAATATGAAGCGACTATCCGAAGAGAAAACCAAAGTTTTGTTTGAAAAGCTATCCAAATAGTAAGTAGATAGTGAGATGTTTCCCGTGGATGAGAACGATTTTTTTTAACGATGTACATTTACAGCATTGGTCCCAATGTGAAGCTACTAATCGACCGACCGGATGGAACGTATTGTTTTAGAGAAATGAATTCCCGTGTTTATTATATGTCGGAGAAAATACTGAAGCTTGCTGAAGGGCTTAAGAAAAATGAACTTGTTTCCGTTGGTACATGTTTCGGAAAATTCACGAAGGGAAACAAATTTATCCTTCACATAACCGCCTTGAATTTCTTGGCTCCTTATGCTCAGTATAAAATTTGGGTCAAACCGTCAACAGAACAGCAATTCCTTTACGGCAACCACATAACCAAGACCGGTTTGGGCAGGATTACAGAGAATACACCAATGTACCAAGGCGCGATTGTTATGTCGATGAACGATACACCGTTGGGATTCGGCGTGGCGGCCAAATCGACGGCAGACTGTAAGCTGGCTGATCCATTGGTGACGGTATGTTTCCATCAGGCTGATATTGGAGAGTACATTCGATCCGAGGATACACTAATTTAGGTGAAGATGAATAAACATTTTGGTTCAAAATTTCTTTAATTTCTAATATTATATAAAAAAGTTAAAATCCTTTGCTCTTCTATTACTCAAAACAATCCACACGTCAATGCTACGTGAAAACACGTATACACTTAGATTTTTTTGCCGAGATGGGCACCACCGAGCAGCTCGGCATTTTATTTTGCTGGAAATTCAGCAAAAAATATGTTTGTTAGCTGAGATCTCGGCAAAAATCCCGTTTGTTGGCTGAATCTCGGCAAGTCTATATTTTTATGCCTCAGAAAAAGCCGGATTTTTCTGAGGCATAAAAATCTCTGGTCACGTCTTCCTTCGGAAGGGAAGTAAAGCCGTTGGTCCCGGCCCATGTGTGTTGAATGGGTGCGATATCCTACGCAGGTGTGGAAGCTGCCTTCCTGCACATTCGATTGCCGTCAATGGAAGGCAATCGATGTCCGTCGGTGATTGACACTAGATTGACAAAAAAAAAAGAAAATTTCATTATATTTAATAGTGTTTGTGCAGGCGACTACTACTGCCTCTACCCTTAACATAAAGTAACTACTGTACCTACTTATAGATGTCACCACTTGTCCCCGTATCATTGCTTTTGTAGTTTCCTTGTTATTTTACAATAAACGTGTATAGTTCTCTTACCTCCGCCATGGCAGGACGGTCAAATATGTAATAGTTCTCGTTTAAATTAATTATCACACAACGTACAAATCGGGTCCTATCCGTGCGCGATCAAATAGTTTTGGCAAGGTCGTTTCCGCGAGAGAAGAAGCACACGTCATAGACAAAAAGAAGCCAGTGGTTTCCTCTTCCTCTTAGTGGAATACACCCAGATCGGTCAAAACTAAATCTACAAAAAAATGGGTAAACTATGTGTAGAATGACAACTTGACAAATGAACAAAGACGATCGGATTCATTTCGATGTTGTCCATTTGTCAACTTGTCACTCCAAACATAGTGTAACAATTTTTGAGTAGGTTCAGTTTTGACCGATCTGGGTGGATTTTACCCAAATTTGGGTAGTTTTGAAATAGCGTGAATACCTTTCACAGGCTTTCACCGTTTGTTTTGGTTCTTCTGTACGTAGATAAGCTTTTCGAAGTCAAATCAGCATACTCTAGCCGCTACGCTATATACATTAGCGACTACATGTAGGTAAAATCCAGTAGTAGCGTGAATCTAGTTTATTTAAAATTCTTTTTCTTTTCCCTTTTAAATATGTATCGGTACTTATATCATAAGAAAGGAATACCTGTAGTACATCTAATCTTTCAATTGTCGTTTTTGTACCCACTGGACAGGCTTTACCTAACGTGAAATTGAAAGTCATTCAGTTGAAGTATTCCAGCGATTAAAATTGTATTTTTATATATGTATTGTCCATGTTTACGCGTGCTGGTTGTTACCGAGTTGATTCCAAAGTCCATCGATCGCTTTGAGTGTTCAGTCAGTGTTATAACGTAGTGCGGTTGTTGATTTTTATAAGCCATAACGTTATTGGTTGAACGTCTATTTCGTACCTATCGGAAGTTTTCTTTGCATTTTCATCGTGAAATCCAGGAGAAATGAACCGTGATTCTATCTACCATCTACCTGAGGGCAGCAAAGAAACAACCTTCTGCTACGATGAATCGCTACCAGCTCTTCCATTGCCGAAGCTGGAAGATACCCTCAAAAGGTACTTTGAATCATTGAAACCATTTGGCACTGATGAGGAATTGAAGACTTCAATACAAATCATCGAGAAGTTTCGGATGGGCGTCGGTGCTAAATTACATCGTATGCTAGATGAGAAGGCGCAACATGAAAAGAACTGGGTAAGTGATCATGACCATTTGTTTCTGGTAAATTTACTCGAGTTAGTTATCTTTATTACGGATACTTTCAGCCGAACGCTGGTTCGTCTCCGAACCTCGAAGGCATAACCAAAGGCGATATATTTCAACTTGATAACAGTCTCAAGGGTGACTTTATCTTATCGTTTTCTTTTAATTACATCGTGTTTCTGGGTAACTGAGTTCGGGAAACAAATATGTGAAGCCAAGTTGACTGATTCTGCGACTTGTTTGTAGATCGTCTTTGTTTTTATTAAAGACGATCATTGGCTTTGAAAGATGTCTGTATTTCAGATCTCAACAAATCATTTGCTCGTGGTAAATGTCCTGTAACCTTGGTTTTATCCGCAATGTCTTTAAGATCTTGTCTGATTTCCAATGGAAAATGTTGAATGAATTCTTCAATCGTGGCATCTGATGGCAGAACGTATGCATTTCGGAGTTGTTCCATTTGTTCATGCACTTTTTGACGAAGCTTAGGTGATAGATGCTCTAAACCACCCCGCAGAAATAGTTCTTCGAGAATTTCCCTTAGAAGTTTATCTGGTAAAATCTGTTGCAAACGTTTAGGGCTGATGAGAGTTGGATGAAGTGGCTTGGTGACGGCTGGTTTCTCAATCATTCTTTCTGATAGTCCAATTGCCAGAGCTTCTTTCAATGATTTCTGCACATCTACCTGTTTGTCCAAGGGAAATTGGTCGAGAAAATTGTTGATTGCATCGGAGTTTGGAAGCTGGCTTAACATTGATTTCACATGGTTTTGTATTTTGTTATTGAGATCTGCTGATATTAATAAATCGTTGCCATTTTGATGTAGCTCTTCGGCAAAATGTATATGAATTGCCACTGGGATGAATTGGTGAATCAGATCTATTAAAATAGATGATTCGGATTTGCTTGCCTCAAGGACCGAAAATAAAATGAAAACAGTGAATGTAATGAACATTCTGTAATGTTTCTGTTGAGACTGACATTCCGGTTTGACCGAAATTGCTGAGAAAGGTTGTCGCGTTCTATCTACTTCATATCGTAATGGAGTCTTGTTCAATGATAGTTATCAGTTTGTTGATTGCCAAGATGTAAGGTAATGTGCTTATTAATTGACACCGTTTCCAATAGAAAAATGAAATAAGTTTATTGATGAACAGTAACAACTTGTTACTATTTTAGCTGCAGCTTACAACATTTTTGGACTTGCATACTCTTTAATGAAATAATATCAACCCAGTGGCAGGCGCGTAGACAACATGTTATACCGTGACAGCGGGCCCAGCACAGGCCCGGGATGCCCGAGATATGCTGCCTACTTTCAAACACTGTTGTTGGTGGCCTTGTCACTGACCTGAGTGCTGTTTAACGTTTAACTTTTACCACTGCACTAGTTAACTGAAATGCGTCTTATCACACAAACGCCTGATATTAAAAGAGCCCGGTTTTGGGCAACGGCCGTTATTTTTACAAATTTCCCTCATCCCGTCTTCGTAGTTTAGCCATATTGTATTTTGGTCTCTGCTTCTATCGTAACGGCACAACATTTTCACAGCGGTATACAGAACCTACTGTTCTTGCACAAGAAACGTGAAGGTCCTGAATATCAGAGATGTTATAATAAGAGTCCAGCCAAGAGAAAATGTTGCCAACAAGCAGCACTGTCTGTGATTTATTTTTCGTCAGAGTAAACGGAAGTGAAAAATTTCATGTCGATAACGGAGCTTCTGGGAGACAAAAACAATTATAGAACCTGAAAAATGTTCAAACAAGTGCTTGGTATAACTTATAAATATTTTTTTTTTTTTTTTATTATAGTCACTTTAACACTCTTGTGTCATTCGTGACTTGTCCGGGGGTGAGATTTGAACTCGTGACTTTGGCGTGAGAGGTATGGATGTTAACCACTACGCCGGGGTCGCCCCCCGACTTATAAATACCACAATGTACTTAAAAACCATAGAAATGTTTTTCATCTAAAATTACTAAAATATTGTCAGTAATGAATGCAATACTTGTAGTTCACTGGCTGTGCGAACAATAATGTTTATTTGGTTTATTTACTTTGCTTGTTTGGTACCCCGATTGACAGTTCTATTGGTACTTCTGGCTTCACTATAGACGAGTGCACCGATGGATTTGAGTTCACTCACTCGACAAAAAGTGACACAACAGCGGGGCCCTGTTTACTAAAAATGAACACATGAATAATACTCGCATAACATTTGAAACGGGCCTACCAACTTTTGTACACTTAACTTGTTAAGTCCTCTTCGCGCGAACCGAATACGCCCACGCAAACTAACAACACCATCGGGTAGGGGAAATTCTCCCATTCCCAATAGTGCTCTTGGTTTGGGTGAGCGTACTTTGGTTCTCGTGAAAAGGACCTAGGAAGTTGTTTACAAAAGAGGATAGGCCCTTTTCAAAAGTTACGCGAGCATTATTCGTGTGTTCATTTTTAGTAAACAGGGCCCCGCTGTTGTGTCAATTTTTGTTCAGTAGATGAACAAAAGTTCACCCGTGCACTCGTCAATTGGCGGGACTCTTATTAAAACCACAGACAAACAGACATAACTCTTAGAAGAAAATTCTTCAAAAATATTGTCAAGCGTATTTTGCATGCGCACTAGCACCATCTATCATCCACATTCCCAAGCATTGTTTTGCAACCGGAGCATCCCTCGTGCATGACATTTTTTTCAGTTGCTTTTCCCTCGTTCTGTCAACGCGTCAGCTTTGTTGAATAAAAACAAAACAGATGGATGTCAGTGATGTCGGTTCTACGAAATTTTCCGAAGATCTATAGAATTGACTGAATTCTGCAGAAATACGGATCCGTAGGAAAAATTCACAGAAGATAAGATTTTTTTTTAGGGATTTGTTTTGTTTGCTTAGCGTGTTTTTTTCTTTTGCAGGAAACAAGTTTTTAAACGAGGTAATGCATCACTTATTAGTGCCCTTTCTACCACCGCTCATCACTTTAATGTGTACACAGAAGAAAAATAAATAATATGTATCAGTCAATGATATTCATGGTGAATTATTGAACATTAATATTTACCAACTACCAGAATATTACAGTCATCAACATGATTTGTTCTCAAATTCTGTGTACATTGTACAACGTAATATTACGCGAACAGAAAATTGTTTGCATTGAACCAAACAAAACTTTAGTTGTATTTAAACAAACAATTCCGGTTGAAATTTTTCAATTGCAACTATTGTAAAAATAACAATATTCTATTATTAATCCAACAATAGTTCATTTTAATTTAGCATTTATTTGCTGTGTCCGTTCCCCGGACCATGAATGCAAAAATAACTACCAACCATTCCCTCGTTTTCACCCGGAAAAAAATGTAAACAATAACAAAACTTGTGAATTTCGGGAAATAAGTGCAAAATTTCCGAAAATCTTGAGACTTAGGTAAGTAAGTATGCTGCAGTTGCTAAATATAATCAATTTTCTATTTTTTCCTTGATTTTTTTTTCCGTCGATCTTGTTTTCCGTACTGAGTACCAATGCTCCTGACGCCAGGAAGGCAGCTCCCACACCTGGACCCTACATATCGACCCATCAACTAATTAACTGGGGACCAACGGCTTTACTTCCCTTCCGAAGGATGATCAGTGAAAAAGAAAACAAAACATAAAAAATTTGCCATATTATTTCCGGAGTGATTTGAGATTTGGGCGTAATTGCATTTGTAAACAAATACGTCAATCACCGATTTCTCGCGAATGAAAGCTCAATCCCGAAAAGTAATAACACTATGAAGTAGAGAAATGATTCCTCTATTATTTGGTATAGTTTGTTTGTGAGATTGAGCTTTTATTCAAGAGAAATCAGTGATTGACGTGTTTGTTTTCAAAAGTAATTACGCCCAAATCTCAAATCACTCCGGATTTTTGAATCAATAAACATATTTTTATTTCTACTGCGTGAATTGTCAGACTTCATAAAATAGATATGATTGAATCAACAAGAAATCTCTTTAAAAAAAAAACATATTTTTGTTGATGACCCAGCTGCCAAATTTGACAGCTTACGTCAAAACCATGAAAGCTCTTGTAAATTCGAAAAGATTTTCTTTTTGGTTTAACAATCCATGGGTTTTGAGGAACAAAAATACTGGATTGTTGAAACAATAATGATTTCTTTTTGCAGCCAAAACAAAATGAAATTCTTATTGATTTTACGTCAAATATTATTACGTTTAAAATATTTTTTTCTGCGTGTAGGAACCGAATGACTAATCTGCAGCAGTTTTGATGTAATATTCAACAACTCTGTATTCGTCAGATGTGGTATGTGTCTCCAGTGGGATGCCTTGACCAATTATCGTTTTCAAGAGCTGGCATCTACTAACTAGACGTGAAAAAGAACTGACATCACTGATAAGTTCAAAATGTGGTAGCTTGCTCAATGCTTCAGTGGCGCCACCATGACAAATGCAAGCACATTCCCAACTAAAACATTATTTGCGATGAATGTGATTGTGAGTGTTATGTCTGTTTGTCTGTGTTAAAACATTGACTCTGCTGAATATATCAGGCGTAACATTTGATAACGGCACAAAAGCTTTTGTAATCAAACTTTGTAAGGTCCTTTGCACGCGAACCGAAATAACGCTCACGCAAACCAACACTCAAAAAATTTCACACGTTTGATCGAAGTGTTTAAACACTTGATTTTTTAAATGCAGAATCACATTTACTTTAAGTGTATTTCACCTTGGTTCGATGTGTTATACACGTTAATTTAGAGTGTTTCAAACTTTGAAATGTTGAAAGTTTTTCACTTTCTATTCAAGTGTATTGCACATTGAATCACGCTACTGTTCAAAACAGATGGATTTAAAGTGTTTTGCATTTCAATACGATGTGAATTGCTTGCTCAGAAAGGTAAACATCGAAAACAAGAGTTGTCACTTTATCCTATTAACCCGCCTCATATATGAGAACAACCATGGCACAGTGAGATAGAA